GGGCCGGCTGGCCTGGGAGGGGGAATCCCCCAAAAAGCCAGGGCCGTGGCGTCCAGGCGGAAAGATGGAGAGGAGTAGGGACCAAGCTTTGGAAGAAGCCGCAGTGTGGATGGTGGCCATGAGAGGAAGCAAGAAGAGAAGAGCCTGAACAAAGGCAAACACAAACCAAAGGTGGTCGAGGCAGGAGGAAAGGAAAATTGTAATTAATCAGGGTGAAAGCACCTTAGTCTCTAAAAACTACTCTGGGGCCACTTTCAGCTTCTTCTGCGGGCCGGTCTCCTACCCCATGTCATGGTGAAACCGTGCTCAGGAGCAGTGGAGGTGCTCGTAGGGGAGCGGTGGGGAACGCTGTGTGAGCACAAGAGCTGTGGGAAGGGATGCTGGTGAAAGTGATGCAGCCAGGGAAAGTGAATCATTCTGCCAGGTTGAACTGGTGCTAAGGGGAAAAAATACAAGTTGACATGGGTGGGGAGCAAATGTCCTGTCAAACTTTCCAGAGAGGTTCCCGCGCTGTGCAGGGAAGGGCTGGGAGGGGAGAGGGGATGTGCTGCCGCTCCCAGCGTTAATTATTACCCAGCAGGTTGGGGTGGAAGGGGCTGGTGGAAGCTGTCCACGTTGTGTTCAGTTTGCTTTCCTGGAGTTCGTAACTCCTCCCATCAGAGGACATCCAGCTCTGCTTTAAATTCCTGCTTGTGGGTACTTTCCCAAATATGCCCAGATGAAAAAAAAAAAAACAAACAAACTTTTGCTAGGAAGTAGTGAAGGGAACGAAGCTCCAGATCCTCAGTGCAGGCTGCTGACTTTAGGGCACTAGATGTGGCAGACTCGGAGCCGTGGGCGTGTGAGAAGAGGAGGGATACTCATCAGGGTGCCAAGAGACTGCAGCTTAGGCAGCAACGTTGAGTACTTCAGGCCACGGTGTAACGTAAAGAGAGCTACAGTCCTGGCATCCCTGTAGGGTGCGGGCTCAGTTCTTCCATACTGGGCTTCCCCCCGTGCTAACCTACTTTCCTTTACTGGGGATAAACACCTGCATCTTACGTGGGTGCTGTGTGCAAGCTCCTGGGCTCCTAGTGGCCACCTTTCGCACCAGGAAAGTCTGGTGTCATCTGTGTCCCTTGTCCCGGCTTCCTCTGAACCTGGAGGAGCGGATCACAGCTCAAAACTGCAGAGTTTGTAGGTACAGATACGCACACTGATGGACCGTGACCCAACCTTACAGACCCACTTGCCCCAAACCATCAAAGCAGTGTTCAGTGCTGTCAGCAAAGCCTGCCTTCCCGTGCTGTGAATGCACTCCTCTCCAAAAAGCTTAGAGCAGCAGAAAAGACTTCTGTTCCCTAAGCCAGCGTAGTGGAGCTGTGTGGGTTTTTTGTTAGGTTAAATTAAAATAAACAGGGCTGCACTCAACAGGCTGCCTGGCTGTATTGTAGGGACAGTTCCTGTAATTCTGTGTGCCCTTGGGGTATCTTACCTAGGTAGTCAAGAGCCTTCAGAGGAGAGCTGTTGAGAGGAATGTGAAACATTAACTGCCAAAGACCAGCCTTGTTCAGACACTCTGCCGAGGCTTGCCCGAGTGACACTCGGCAGAAACCTCCCCTAAAGAAACAGGTTCCTTCATTACAGAAGGTCCCTTCATTACATTAAAGAAACAGGTCCCTTCAACTTACAGGTGACCTGTAAGTTGTTGTTGCTCAGCACTTAGTGCTGCAACAAGAGATGGGATTGTCCAGCAGGTAGGGCAAATCCTTATTTTACAAAATAAACTAAAAATTGTTTGAAGGAAAGGTTTTGGGGAGAAAGCTGGGCTTCTCTGCTCAGCTGGACACATTGCTGTCCCACTGTGACTGCTACAGAGCAACTGATGATAATCCCTTCAATTCTCTTTAATCACCCCGGCTGCAGGGAGGTGCAGAAAGCTGTGAACACCGCTCAGGGGCTCTTCCAGAGGTGGACGGAGCTCTTGCAAGATCCCTCCATCGCCACAAGAGAAGAAATCGACTGGACCACTAATGAGCTCAGGAATAACCTGCGGAGCATTGAGTGGGACCTGGAAGATTTGGATGAAACCATTAATATCCTTTCTGTGGTCTTTTGGACGTAGGGGCATGTGGTTCCCGAGTTGTACTAAATAGCCAAGTACCAGTGCTTGGCAGTAGTTACTTCTTGCAGAAATCGGGACTATTTGGGATTGAAATTTGCATTTACATTGGCTTTTCTCAAACTGCAAATGAGAAATTAAGGCGAATATGTTCAGCAAAAGGATTTTCCTTTTGCCTTTTTGTTTTCCTTTTGACAAGGTATATTCTAAGAAGCTTTGTTCTAGAAAGCCTATTGCGCTGTATGAGCTTGGATTTCTGTGTAGTCAGTTGTACTTTAGGCTGGCTTCCAGAAATACTCCTTTTCCCTTGTGTTCATCTGAACACTCTGGAAAGCGCTGCGCAGCATCAGAGAACCAAAAAAAAAAAGCAAGAGAGAAGCCTCACGCTGGTGCGTGTACTGCACAGTACGTTCCTGCCATGCCTGTTTTTTCCTCCAGTGTTTCATACTTTGCTAATCAAATTTTGGGAAAAGGCACAGTGCAATGGAAAGCTGCCGCTTGGTGGAACCCTGCTGAGGCACGCTCAGGGTTTGTGTGTCTGTGTGCATACCCAACACCGCTAACGGGGACTCCTTGACTCGCTGCCTACGCATCGTTGAAGCAAACCCGCGGAAATTCAACCTCGATGCGACGGAGCTGGGTATCAGGAAAACCTTCATCACGAGCACGCGACAGGTGGTCAGGGTAAGGAAGGTGGGCTTTGGATGGTTAAAAAAGAGGAAAGCTTGTGGCCATTTCTGTGGTGAAGTGGAGAGCAGAGAATATACCTGCTGCCTGCTCTGTCGGCCTCCCTCCTCTTCCCCATGTGCTCCCTCCTGTGCCTGCCCAGAGGGGTTTGGGGGTGCAGGTGCCCCATGGTGTACCCTTCTTCTCTGCTGCTGCCCCTTTAAGTCTTCACGCTTTTCTTGCAACAGCGGGCCTGGGAACATGTAGAAACTGGGAAGGAAGAGTAAAGACCCCACTGCGATGCAGGGGATGCTGGAGCCTCCCTTCAGAGTTGAAGGAAATTGCAGCTGTCCTGTGCTTCTGTAGTGCTAGTTTTCAAAAACAGAGAGTCCAATTTGAACGCTGACAGATGGTTAAAGCCTAGCGTTATTGACGTGGTGACTTCAACTTCCTACCACTACAAAATAGTCCAAACAACCACTAGATTTATTTTTATCTTGAGGAAGATTTTTTTTTTTTTTAGTTTAAGCTCACACTTCAGAAGCAAAAGGAGGATTTTAACAACTCAATGGTAATAAATAGAGAAGAAACATCTTCCCAAAAGCTTCACTGCCCGGTAACAAGCTGCTAGTTAGCAAGTTTTCTCCCTATTAATAGCTACACTGAGTGTAGCTTAGTTTATGGTGTCCCTCATGACTCTGATGTTCCTCTTTCACAAAATGTATTGCTGTGGCTGGCAGCAAGCTTGTTACCCTACCTGCAGTCTGGATGCAGTTCCTAAGGCTTGCTGCCTGGGAACTGATCCCGAAACCATGCTGGCCCTGGCTAGCAGGCATGTGCTTGCTGCCTTGCCCTCAGTGTAGCCTACTCCCCAAATGAGCAGGATCAGGCAAGCCTGCTCTATGGTCCTCTTTTCCTAGCTGAAAACTGCTGGCTAATGGGTTTTGGAGCAGCGTCTCTTACTGTTAAATGAAACTTGTTAGTGGCATTATGCAGCTGACTTCCAGTTTCCATGGGGGAGTTTGGGACGCACAGCAGCAAGTGCATTAGCCGGTGAGAAGTAACCAAGTGGGATGTGGTGCTCTTAGGTGATGTATTGCATGTCTCTAAACAGTAAAACATACCTAACTGTTCTGGTGACATCAGAACAGTGCTGGTGGATCAGCCCCTGCCAGACCATACTGACTGCTTGCTAATCTACCCTATAAAAACTAGATTACTTTACGTTGTGATGGGGAGCCTCCTGTGGCTGGCAACCTTCTACAGGAACTCCGCAGCAAAACTTAATTGATGAAAGAGAGAATGTAGGCACAGTTGGAGAGGATGGCCACAGGACACGAAATCTGTCTCGTCCTATGCAATATAAAACCAGGTGCAACTGGGAATAAAGTGCAGGGGGTTACAGGCTTCCAAGACCTTGAAGAACATGACTTTTCCTTACAGTCAATGGGAACATTAGTTTAATATTACACAAATCAAAGTGTGTCTGGCTGTAGTGGAGCAAAATGAGTAGTAAATAAGGAATATTTTCAAAATATCCCATTGCCATTGATTCTAGTATTAGCAAAACGATGAACTGTGGTGAAGCTTTCTAAATATCCTTCCAGACTCTTCAAAACTGTACATTTTCACAGAAAATCTCCCTTCCCTCACTCTCCCTAAAGAAGCTTTGCAGCACCCTGGAATTGCCTGTCCCCGCAAATCCAAGCTCACATACTACTTCTTTCGTTGAACAAACAGGAAATGAAGGATCAGATGTCAAACTCCTCCATGCAAGCACTGGCCGAAAGGAAAAACAGGCAGGTGAGAACCAGAAACGGGCGAGTTAAGTGAATGCGGTGGATGTTTGGTACTTTAAGAAGTGAGGGGGAGCTCTGGCAGTTGGTGTCTTAAAGTATGTGTTGGAGTAAGTGAAAATGGAAGTTTCACCTGAGGTCCCTCATTGTAAGGTAGAATGTATAGTGTTGATCCAAACTGCATAAAAGCTGTAATTACAATATATATCCTGTTTGTAGTTCATCCCCGTATAAACCTTTGTTTTGGGAAGGGGCTTGCATGCTGCAGCAAAGCTGTGTGTTTGAACCGTGTCTGTTTTGCTGACCTGAGAGAGCTGGTTCTTGCAGACACGTTGCTGCCACTTTCTTCCAAGCCCGTCTCTCAAAGCAGTAAGTCAGCACTCGCCATCTGTCTCTGTCTTCAGATATGGTTGTGTACAACTGTCAGTGTTGCATCATTCCGCAGAAGGGGGAATCTCCCTCCTCGTCGGGGGGAACAGACTCAGAATCCATGTCAGTGAATGTAATCCTGCGCTCTGCTGTATTTAGGAGCCAAGATGCTGCAATATCCTTTCACACAGCTGCCTCTCGTAATAGTTAGCCATGTAAGAAGATGGAAGAAGCTCAAGGAGTCTCAGGTTGTCTGCACTTGTAATCTAAGGAATAGAAATAGATGCAGCTTGTGTTCCTCCCCAGCTGACGAGGAGGCTGTAAGGACATCTCAGAGCTGACTTCCAGAGCTGCCTCAGTAAAAGTTGGTGTGCATTTCGTACAATTAACTTCTCTGGCTGCATCGGTCTTGCCACTTGTGGCAAAAATGACAAACTGCAACAAGCTACTGAGAAGCACGGAGCTGATTCCTGAGCTTGTTGCGGGGTTAATTGACATGCTTGGCAAACACTTGAAGAAGCAAAGTCCCTTACACCCTTGCTCAAACAAGTCTGTAGCTGTCTGTGCATTCTGCTGCTTTCCTTTGCGTGAAGTTCCTGCTAGCTGCAGGAGACCATATGGCCCAGCTCGCGTTGCAACATCTGTTCAGGAAAACTGACTTCCCCTTGCCGTCTTCCTCTCCCTTCCCCAGCCCCTCACCTTCCCTCCAGACTGCGAAGCGTGTGCTGGGCTGGCCTGCAGCGGCTTTTCCAGCGTGCCTTTGTGTCTGAGAGGCTGGCTGGCGACGACCTGACCCTCACAGGCTAAGGCTGGCAAACAGAGGCCTTTCTACTGAAGCTGCAGCAAAACTAGAACACCACGTTAAATAAGTGGTAGCTGCATCTGCCACGAAGAGGAGAGAACCACAAGCTTGCTCAGTGTCCAGAGGGCAGACAAAGCCAGATGTCCTGCTGACTTCCTGCATGGTCGGTCCGTCAGCTTTCCGCACCTCTCCTTGATCCTTGTAAGGGAGATGAACCACAGAGACCGTCTTGTTTTCAGTCTGTGGGAGCAGCCTGGTCATTGTCTTGCTGTTCTTCACAAATACCCATTCATCTGTCCCTGCCCGTGACCAGAAGGTGTGAGACGGTCTCATCACCAGTCGGCCTTGCCTCCGTGCTGGTGGGCAGAGCTCCCTAACCCATTTGTAGTGCTGCAGGGTGCAGCTCCTCACCCGTGAGCCACTTTCGTTCTCCAGCGTCTGTCACTTGTGTTATACCCCTTTCAGGGACCAAACTTAGCTGGAAAGCCACGTCTCTGCTGGCTTTGCAGAAGCATCTCTCTTTGGCTTGTAGAGCAGGTAGCAAGTGTGGTCCTGTGTGCTGGCAACTGAACGGTATGCCGGAGGAACAGGTAGCCTGAATCAAAGAACAAAGGCATGCAACACTGCTGTAGTTACATTTTGCACTGTTTTGTTGTCAGCTCAACTGGTTAAGTACTTTATCCAGACCCTCTTAAGCCCCTGTCATTAGTAGCACTGTGTTCAGTTCAAGCTATACATCTGTTAACACATATATCCGGATACTTCCCAGCTTACATGTTCTAGCACACAGTGCTGCCTCTTGAGCAGACCTTTGCTAGTCCTCTGTGCTCTGCAGAACTCCTGTGTATACCGGCTGCCGGTTGTACTCCAGCTCACCTGCTGCTGGAGAGGCATATCCGCAATATCAGGCTGCAGAGACTCCCCAAACCGGCATTTTGGCATTGTGTTGTTTTAGTTTGTGGCAGCACTCTGGCTGAATAGCAGTAGAGCAGGAGGAAAAGGATGCTGCGTGTGTGTGTACAGGAGTATTGCCTTGTCTGCCTTCCCACTACACCCTGTAGATGGGCTATGAGCAGACACAAGAGTGTGGCTAAGGGTTCTCTGCATCTGTTTAGGCACTCCTGGGAGAAAGCGGGAGTCAGAGTTGGAGCTCTGGACCTGACAAATACAGCCGTCTGGACCGGGAGCTGCAATTAGCAAATTCACACTTCATCGAGGAGCAGCAAGCTCAACAACAGGTAAGGCAGCTGGCACCATGCGGACTAAATAGCTTTGCTTGCCAAATGGGTGTCCGGGGGATGAGGTACGGGCTGCAAGAGCAAAATAAATCCATTCCTTGACTGGTCTGGATCCAGGGGCCTGACAGCCCTCCTCTTTGCTTGCAGAATATACCTGTGCCTGCATTTCCTGTACAGCACAGCTCTGGATGCATCTTGGTGCAGAGTTTTTAACTGTTGAGGCTTGGGTCTTCTGCTCTGTACAAAAGGGAAACAACATGATCTGGAAGATGCAGGACTCTGAACTTTAATACTACAAGGATTGCTGAAATCCTTGGAAGCGTAGAAATGTTGCAAACAGAAAAGAGCCTGTTTCTCTTATGCAACTTCCGCTGGTTCAAAAACGAGCTGATGTTTGCTGTTGTTTTGTGTGCATCTTCATCAGAACAGGCTAGGAGCAGGAGCACGTGCCTGCTTCCTTTTCCTGCCTTTGTCAACACGAGATTCGTGAGAAAGCCTATGCGAGGGCTTTGCGAGAACCCCTGGCGAGGTGCTTCCCCACCGCCGGGGGAGTTCGTCTGGAGAAGTGCCCAGGCAGCGTGCAGACCCCCGTGCAGCAGCCCACCCAAACATGGGCTTTTAAACAGGCAGCTTCTCGGAGGCGGCAAACTGCTAAAGCTCCTGAACCCTGATGCCGCCCCGGCTTTCAGACGAGTTTTACCTAGTGACTCTAGGAAGATAAATAGATTCAGAAGTAGGTAACTAGGGTAAATCTAATCCTTAGTGTGACTGTGCCCTGAAAATGACTTAAAACATCAGCACACCTATTCCTTTGGCACGTTTGGAGCCAGGCTTGCTATTTTTAGCTGCAGAAGCTGCAAGAGCCTTTTACTCACATGAACCCTGTGTCAGCTGCAGCATGTTCCAGGTTGCATTTCCCAGGCACAGCATCGGCGTGGCTTCCTGGCGCCTGCTGCCATACCTGCAGAGGGGCTTGCGGAGGTTTTGATGACCAGCCCCTGTGGCTTTCAAGTGTCGCTTTAGCGATGGGTGCAGCAGGGAAGGGAGGGGGCATGGCTGAGCTAAGGCTGGATTTGTAGGGATGTGAAAATGTAGGAAATGTAGCTGCAGCGTGCTGTGCCATGGGGATGCCATGCCAGGGAGGCATTTCTGCGGCTGTCACATCTCCAGCATTTCTTAGGAATGTGGTCCTCATTCCTGGTGGCTTAGGTCTGTGCCCAGGACCTGCAGCTGCTGTTGGACGAGCTGCGGGTGTCTGTCCCCCTCATCGGCTGGCTCCCACCCGGCTGCAGGAGGCGGCAGACCCTTAATTGCCCATTTCCCTTCTCTTTGGCCCCAGTTGATTGTGGAGCAGCAAGATGAGCAGTTGGAGCTGGTCTCTGGCAGCATCGGGGTGCTGAAGAACATGTCCCAGCGCATTGGCGGGGAGCTGGAGGAGCAAGCAGTGTAAGTGTGAGAGGCGGCGCCAGAAATCCGGTATGGAGCTGACTGCAACACAGCTGGAGGTCCTTGCACACGTCTCTGCCCCTGTTAGGGCCTTGAATTTATTAGTCCCTGAGGCAGCCTCTCCTAGCCAGCCTTTGATTTTAGGCAGTGGAAAGCATTTCTTACTGCAGCCTGCAAGGATCCAACCACAGTCTTGTCCATTTGAAAGCCTGCACCTAGGGCAGGCTTAGCTGCCAACTTTACCTTTCCTTCTCTCTCCTTTTTACATGCTCCCCCTAAGGCACGCAGTTGGCTCCTTGGCTTCAGGCAGCCAGCAGAACCAAGTCAAAGAGGGGGGGAGAGAGGGGCTGTATAATGGGTATACTGGGCACTTTCTAACTTCACAGGGTTTTGTGCTGCTCCTGCATAACTGCTTGACCCAGGAGATGTCAGCTCTGCCTTGCTGCTCTGAAACACACAGCACAAAGCTGGTATTCATAGTTAAAGCTAAAAATAACCCTCACCCACACAAAGGGTTAAAGGGTAGCTCAGAAAGTAATTTGCATCCATCGTTTACATATAAATTAGATTTCTTTCCCAGTTCTTGTCCTTTGCAAACAAGTGGATAAAGTTTCCAGTTATGCAGGCTAACAGCTACCACTTCCAGAGAGGCTTGAAGGGTTTATGCCTAAAAAGCCTCCTTGTTTGGCCGACAGGAGTCTGGAGGGCTGTCCCCCTTGTGAAGTGATGTCTTCTTTGATGGAGAGGAGGAACTTTAAACCCACCTCCTGTATGAAGTCTTGCAGCGTAAGAGTCATCTGCTCTTGTGGAAGCAAATCAGTATGGTGTGTCCGTTTCCAGATCATCACATAAGCCATCAGTGCTTGCTAGACAGTAGCAGATGACTACTGCAATGAGTTTTTTACAACTCTCTTTTTCCCCACTGAATGAAGGTTTAACAAGTGCCCTAGAACTCCAAATGGAGGAAGATGTCCTTGTAAACATATTAAGCTTTGAAGCCCCACTGGCTGGAGACCTTGATTGGTACCTTGATTCTGGGTTTGCTCATTTCTCTTCAGATGGGTTCTTGGCATTGACAAAGCACGGCTTCAGGAAGGCTTTCAGATTCATTACAGTTGCTGTGTGGAGGAATTAGAGGGGTAACTTCCATTCAGAGCTTAAAAAGCTCTTTAAAAGCAATTGCAAAT